TGCTGTAGCTCATTGTTAGTAAATTGAGCCAAGGACAATGCCAAGCAATACGGTCTGCGGACAAACTGCACATCTAATCGAACCACCATCCCTCATCAAGGGCATCGACTAGATGTCACCAGAAGAAGTAGCCGTGAGCTAAGTATACTGGGCAAGAGTCCACAACCTGCAACTTGTCCATCAACCACACCTGGAGAGGGATGGAAAATGAGAGAATAAAGAATAGAGAGGTGTACGTTGAGAGAAAAGTGAGAAAAGGGTTTTGAGAGAAAAATCGAGCCCGAGGGCCGAGTGATGTGAGCAATATATATGTGAGACAGGGTGGGAAACATTACCTGCAGCAGTAGTGGACTCCCCACGAATCTGGTCGTCTCCCGGCGATGGAAAGCGTCCAAGCACATCAATGTCTCGGCTAGTGTCATGGTAATGCAGCTCTTACCCTCTTTTAGGCCTTGGGTAACTTCGATCAAACGAGTGCTAAACCTTCCCAAGCCTGGGGCAAGCAAGAAATGGGACAGCATGCACAAGCAGAGCGCATGTCGCCGAAAGCCCTACCAATGATGGTCACCACGGTCACCGGCATCGGAAAAGCAACGAATCAAACTCGAAATGTCCAGCAATGCGTCACAAATCAATGACCAAGCGTCATGCATAGTGAGCCCACACATTCGTCCTAAGGCTTGGGCGTGGCCGAAGCGAAGCTGAGGCAAGATTTCTTCGTTGCGCTCGGGTTCCAACAAAGCTTGGAAGTCCTCGAAGGTAGGACACATCTCTTGCCCCCCAAAACTAAAGGCATGTGTTACCGGGTTCCAAAACCTTGCCGCGACATGGAGAAATGGAAGGTGCAGTGGAGTACGACTCAGCGTGAATAGTGCATTTATGCCGAAGCCTCGGAAGTTCAACTTTTCTGAGCCATCTAAGGTAGCAATCCAAGTTGTGAGATTTTGGATGAGAAATGTCTCCATTTTGATGTAAAACTGAGATGGAATGAGAGAACCACGAAGCTGGAACTTTTATGGAGGATAAGGCACTGTTTGGGGGACAAGTGTCAAAAATCTGGAGATCACCATGCCAACTGGTCGGCCGACCACTTTTTCTGGTCGGCCAGCCAGTTTTTCTGGTCGGCCGACTACGTAACTGGTTTACTGAGCAAAAAAAAACTGGTCGGCCAGCCACTTTTGGTGGTCGGCCATGGAGAAAAACTGGTTTTTGGCCTTTTCCTAGTCTCTATAAGAGATCTCCTAGCCTTTCCATGTGTTGGGAGTGTTGAAGGTCCGAGTTTACCTCTGTTTCGGATGCGTTCCGTCGCCCCGTTTGTCCGAAATGCATTTGCTTATCGAGTTGTTAAGTTTTGCTTATCAAATTGTTAAGTTTTTCTTATCGAGTTGTTAAGTTTTGCTTATCGAGTTGTTAAGTTTTACTAACTTGTCGAGTTTTGTTCATCGAATTGTTGCCCTTTGTTTATCAACAATTGTCGAAGTTTGCTTATCGAGTTGTAAACTTGCTAAGGTTTTGTTGTTTCTTAGTGAGTTAAGCTGTTTAGTTTGCTATGTTGGCTCATTACCTGACTTGGCGATGTATAATGCTCCATTTCCATTCAATCCCATTTTTGTGCAAAATGATGCGATGCGATGCTAAGAATGCAAAATACAACACTTTTTGAACAAAAAGTTGTTTTATTCCGTGATAGTTTCTTTTGTTACAACATTTTTACAACAGGGTACAAGTTTTAAAGAAAATAAAACTGCCTAAAGCTGATGTGCTATAACTACTAGTAAAAAAAGAAAATAAAGCAAGAACATCTGCATCAGTGCTATCAGGCTCAAGATCGGGAGGCTCTCTTCATCCTCTTCAGCTGAGCGGCCTTTATACCGCCTCCACCAGCACCATCATCCGAATCGAAGCTGCCGTCCTCAGAACCCTCCCCGGCATCACCTCCACTCTCAAAACCGGAGCCAGAGTCCTCCTCTCTACCTACGGATGTCTCCGACTGAGGACGCGCAGACTCCTCCTCCTCGCTGGACTCCTCATCATCTCTGATAGGTGCTCTACACCTACCTCGGCTGCGAGTCGAGTCCCTTCTCCTAGCTCCTCGAGAAGGCCTGGATGGCCCAGCCTGTAGCGGTGGCATCTGAAGAAAAAAAAAACAACAAAAGAGGGCAATTTGAATACATCAGCCAAAGTATGTATATCAGATGCAGATGCGGGAATGCTACATAGGATGTGTGCTTGCAGATATAGTATGTGAATGCGGTGTGTCAGATGTGCTCTACATATGTAGTCAACCAATGTAATGAAATGTTCAATTGCAGTCTGTCATCAGAAGTATGATAAATGCAAGGAAATCGAAAAGTACCGAGACGCCGGTGATGAACAACTGCGTCTCTCTCTACAGGACCATGCTCTCGAGTGAGGCCACCACTCCGAGTAACCCCTCAGTGTACCCTCTGGGAGGCTGCAGATATAAGTGCAAGTCATCAGTGAATGAATGAATGTCTAAACAGTTGAGTGATAAATCAAAACTGTAAAGCATACCGGTGGCGAGTCAGGGTCACTGACATATCGATAATCAGGCAATGGAGGCTCCAATGGAATCGGGTAGGATGCCCCATACCGCCAACCTGTCAACTCGGTCAGAAGATCCGGCCAGCCAGCATACTGATAAGTCAGGGGGATCTCTCTAGCCCCACTCCTCGATGTGCCGGCCCTGCTAGTCGAAGGGGTATCTGCAGCCCGAACTTGACTCGATGATGGCATGCCAGCATCCCTCCTCATGGGAGTATAGACACCTGTCAGTGGAGGTATCAAGTATGTATGGCGGTAGGTCGCGTAATCTCCCTCCTCCAGCAACAGAACTACATCAGTACCCAACATAAGCTCCTCGACCTCCCGGGGAGTGAGTCTCTCAGTGGATTGCATGTCCTCTGGAGGTGCTGAGAGGATACCCTGATCAGGGTTGCCCATCGTCTGACGTATGAAGCGATCCCCCAGAAACCAGGCCCTGCCAACGGGCCCCTCAAATAAAGTCCTGTATCGAGAAGAGGCCTACGCCCCAGGGAATCGGAACCGGGCATTTCCTAACAAGGGTGCCCAGGGCTGCCAAGAGATCTGCTTATAACAAGTGCATAAACTAATTAGATGTCGTAAATATGCAAGATGAACCAAAGCTGAAAACATAACGAACTGAGAGTTTTGGATTACCTCTGTCGGTCGTACAGTATCAAAGAACTGTCAGAGATAGGGTAAAGTTTCCCGAGTTCTCGGCTGACACCGACCCTCAAATCTGCGAGAGTAGGGGATCTCAAGAGGTGCCTCCACCTCGAGCTCAGGGGCCAGTGTCGGGAAGTATGCATAAACCCATAGCTGTGAAAGGCAAGACAACGACTATCAAAACACAGAATATATTGAAAATACTGAATGCTGAGTACAGAATGTCAGTATACAGAATGATGTGTGCAGTGTACAATATACAGAATGCTGGGTGCAGTGTACAATATATTGAATGTTGAGTGCAGAATGTCAATATACAGAATGCTGGGTGCAGTGTACAACATGTAGAATGTACAGAAAATACGGAATACTGAGTGCAGAATGTAGGATACAGAATAAAATGTGTGCCGTGTGTGCAGTGTACAGATAATGAAAAGCGGAAATGTAAATCAAAAGGGCATAATGTACCTCCCAGGCTCTCCAGTAGCCACCCACTATGTTCCCTCTCCCGCGGGAGGTCGCGTTCATATAACAGTAAAGGGTAGCGAGGCCGGTGCCGCCCCAATCATACTGGCTGACCTGTGATAGGTCTACCAAAGCACTA